AAGATAAAACATAGGAAAAGCTGATTTTGCAACTAAAGGGAACTTATCTCAGGCCATCCGAAGAACCTAATACCAGATTAGCACACAAACATTGACAATCGATTTGTAAATAGCAAGATCATCGAACAACTAGTAATCAACACTCGATTATTGCAAATTAACCATCAATGTTTGTTCACTAGTGAAATAGAGAGGGGCAAAGTACACCGATGGACTAGAGAGAGGTCGGCGGACGATCGTTGGACTATAGTGGTCGGCGGGTGCTGCTTGGCGTTGACGATTGGGCAGGCGGCAACAGCATCGTGGTGAATCGCAAGCTTGCATTGGTATTTAGGTCACAAAGTGGTTATTTTAGGGTTTCATCACTGATGAAGTGAGAGGTGCAGAGGAATAGGAATCAGATGCAACTCTCTATTGAAGATATGGGAGAGAGGAGTTCAAGTCGTCGGTGAGGAAGGTCAGGAAAGCAGACTCGATAGTGAGGAGGTGAAGATATGGGATGCAAGGTGCAGATTACCAATATAAAATGTTTTAATAAATATCTTTTCTAAATAAAAAATAAATAATAAAAATCTGAATATTAAATTGAAAGGGTAAGATTGTCTTTTTATGTTTAATAGGGACCAAACGCGTGATAAAAACATATAATAGGGATGGTCCGAGTTAAAAATTCTTTCTAGGGACCAACCACGCAGATTACCCCAAACCATAGGGACCATTCGTGTAATTTACCCTAAATATTACGTCACAGTTTCTTTAAAGGCTCTGCTTATCCATGGCTTCTACTCTGTAACAACTTCCTACATGGATAAAAGAGTAAGGACTCTAGCGGAGTTTATATTGAGCATCAACGTGTGTTTTATTAATAATAGCCACCATAGTGTTAACTTTATCAAAAGGTTATTGAGTTGGTTCTATAGTCATAGGCTTCATATGACAAAACTAACCAATCCACAGAAACTGTTAAAACGGGTTTAGTTTTTTGAAGTGAAATTGAGTTTTTTAAATAAAAACCCAGTTTTATCGTTTAAAACAGGTTCGATTCGATTATAATAGAAATAACAAGAAAAAAATTGGTTTTAGATATTTATTAAAACTTATTATTAACACTCAGTTAGTTAGGGTTTTAGCCTAGTTTGATTTTTGTCTGTTTAGATTACTTTTGCTTTGGGCCTTTGGCCAATTTACTAATGAAAATGTGGGGTAAGGTAATAACATTTGGTTTGAACATTTATCAAATAAGAACAACCTATTTGTGACGAGCCAAAGTAGTTTGGTTCGTGAAATCAGTTTGTGACAAAATTAAATATTTTATAACTTCTTTTAACTTTTCAACACGCATAGAGGAAGAGACTTAATTAGTGCTGAAGTCATTGGAAAGGTCATAAATTTTTGACCGATTCTTAAGGATTTTGACTTTCGAGAACCAGGATCTTAGCGATTATTGTGTAATTGGAACTTACATGTGAGCTAAGGGGCTTTATAATTTGTACTCTAATATATATTTGGGTATGTACGGAGTGCATGCATGTATAAGATCCAATTAGAAGTCAGTTCCACGACAAATCTCTTTTGCTCTTAATCTGGTAGCCTCTTTTGCTCAAACTTTACAGAGAGCTTTTAGGGACTCCAAGGTCTCATAAAAATCCAAACTTTATGGACATGCATGGGTCCACTAAAACTAGGTCAAATGGCAAGAAAATGACCTAAAACTCGTGCAAAGCTCACAAATCTCATCCAACTTCTAGATACAGGAGATATTAGGCTCAAGGGACCTTGGTGAGCCATAAAGTTGCAAACTTTATCTCATTCCATCACTCAAACTTCATATATGAACCAAAACATGCTAGTAAAGCTAGATCTATAAGAAAGGAATCATAAAAATGGGAAATTGAAGACTCACAATTATTCCAGAAGATGTACAAAAGGATAGAGGTGACTTGCTAGCTGGATTCAATCACAAAGGACTCCTTCTTCTTCATTCCAAGCTTACAAAAACACCAAGGATCATCTCAAAACTTGCAAGGAGGCTAGGGTTTTGTCTAAGGCACTATAGAAGTGATGTAGGCTAAGGGTATAGGAAACCCTAGCTATCACTTCCTTTAAATGGGGCTCTAGGCTCATAAATCAAGGGCTTTCCATTCTGGAGTCACCATCTCGTGGACATTGCATTGCATGGTCATGGCGACCACAAGATGCACAGACACTAAAATGGTTGCCACGTCGTGGTGATCCATACCACCACATCGCGGTCAACCCTAAACTCATAAATTGACATGATAAAAAGTAATACCTGGGAACCAGGGGTTACAAAAAAAACATTGTTTTTTCCTCACATGGGTTGAAACAGACCCGTTGGGTTCAAATAGACCTACTGACTAAATAGTGTTGGATTAATGTCTAAGTCCATAACTATATTTGGTATGTACTTGACCCGACCCGGCAT